ATGTGGCACACACAGCTCACCAATGCATTACAGACGAGAGCTGTGCGAGAGTACACGGCCAAGAACAAAGAGTGATTAAAGAAAACGTCCATTTCAATGTTCTTCAGCCTCTCCTCGTTAAGGAGCCTTAACCTCACACTCTGACCACTCAAGTGCATGAGAAGAGAACAACACTTCACCGCAGGTTGAAACTCAATTCACTTGGTATTTAAAGCTTGGTACTCAAATCTCAATCTGTGTGACAAAGCAATACAGTAATGTTTTAGAGCATTACAATTTTTTAAAATATCTTGTTTTAAGGCCAATTTTGTGTTTAAATGACATATGAAGGCCTGTAGAGATTATGGTTTAGATATGATCCAGATGCATTGAGCTTTGGTGCTCATTTCGGAAAAACAGGTTTGAATCCAGCAAGCATTATGTCCAAATCTGATTCCTCGCTCCAACATTTCTTGTCAATTATCAACAAAAAGTCCCCAAATGCAATGCATCCACAGCACAAGCTGAATAAAAAAGCAAGGAGTCTGACATCTCTCTCAGCCCAAATCAGGGTCTAGTTAGACAGCGAGATGTGTGCTGTGTTAGTAAAAGCAGCTGTCACACGATCAGAGCGATCGCATGCGTATGTCTCTGTGAACGCAGACTGCTGCTGTTTTAATAAAGCAGTGACAGATTTGTACATGTCAGAGAGAGTCTAGTCTGTAGATCCTGACCCAGCTCAGGCTTCATTACACAGCGGTGCCATAAATCCACGCTCGCGCCCTCCGTAACAATGCTAAATCACAGAACAAATCATCCCCACTGACTCAAATTGATTTCCCCTCTTTTATGTCTAGAGACCATTTTGAAAATCTAATCAACCTTGGCTGTCAAGGCAGCTAGATCATGTCTGAAAATGTCTCTATGCACAGCTAACATCTCATAATTTTAAGCAAACGCAACCATATACAGATGTAATTAGGCCTGTCGCAATAATCAATATATCGACTTATCGCGCAATATATGTACATGACCTCAATAATTTTTGGTGGTGCAATATATTGCCCATTATACAGTATTTACATAAAAATTTGTCACCATGTTTTGTACATTCCACTTGCGCCTGTGTCTTTTGCAGCTTCTCGTACATAACGTGGTGTAGTCATGAGGTGCTAGTTCACATTTAAAAAATGCTTCTACAAAAAAAAGTTTCATCTGCAGATATGGTCTAGTTTAGGGATCTGTGCCTTTGTGCATGCGGACATCTGACTGCTAAGTAGTGATTGTGTTTCTCAGCAATAGTGTGCACCCTT